CGGGAGCGCTGCCGCGCTTCCCAAGCGGCGCACTGTAGCAGTGCGCCACCTGGCCGGCCCCCTTAATAGTTTTTAAATCGGTCCACTTTTTGTCATCCCTCCTGTCATTGCCTTGGTTTGGCCTCATGGTTGCTTGCCCGGATTCCTGTAACTGGTCTGTCTTCATTCCTGCCTTCCTCTAACCCATTCTCTATACTTCAGCTGAAATGATTTTTTCTGAAACTTGCATTCTATAATCCAGAAAAGGCCTTATATTCCTATAGTCCCAGATAAGCCATGAAAAAGAGAGACACATGGATTTTCTTTCCTGTTGTTTTCCAGTGTTAATGTCTTGCTTTCTAATTGAATGAAAGGACCGTCTTGCTTTTATCAAAATTGACACAAGTGCATCCAAGCAGACGCGTCATCATTGAAGATGCACTTAATGTGAAAATACCTTATCCAAAACTTGGAACTAGGCTAAAGGATTGCTGCATGTCTTTTCCCCTCCATAGCAGTTTTTAAATCGGTCCACTTTTTGTCATCCCTCCTGTCATTGCCTTGGTTTGGCCTCATGGTTGCTTGCCCGGATTCCTGTAACTGGTCTGTCAACTAACTGATAATTTGACTTTGTGATTTTTACCTTTAAATACCTGTGCTACATTTTTATTCAGAGAGCCAGTTTTCTCATAACTGGTCTTTCTTGCAAGTAGAAAATTTCCTCCATACTTAAATTTGCCTTTAAGCATTTTTTTTTTTTTTTTGCTCAGCCAGTGAGCGGGAACCTGTCTGTATGTGGGATCCGAACCCTCGGGTGGGAGCACCGCCGCACTTCCCAAGCAGTGCACTATCCAGTGCGCCACCGGGCCGGCCCTAAGCATTTTTTTTTTAAAGTACTATACTTATTAGCTGTATGGCCTTGGGTACATTACTAAACCTTCCTAAGAATCAGTTTCCTCATTTGGAAAATAGTGATAATAATAATGTATTAGAAAGATTTAATGAGATAAAAGTGCTTAGCACAGTTCCTGGTATATAGTAAATGCTGGATAAGTGTGCTATTATAATGATTATCATTATTAGAAACATAGATGATGTTGATGAGAAGCAAGACTGGAGGCTGAAGATCCGGTTTTCAGCTAAGAGTGTGAAGATCAAATCTGAGTTTTAGAAAAACATTTTAAGGTGCAGGAAACAAATCGCTGAGAGGGAGGCCAACTGAAGACAGGGAGACCACCAATTCGAGGATATTATTCCAAGCAAGGAATAATGAGGGCAGAACTAAGGCAATTGCAGCAGGAATGATAAGCACTGGACACATCTGAAAATGATTAAGGAAGAGCTATTAGCAAGACTCGGAGACTAATTAAATAAACTTGCTTAACTGTAACAATAACCAACCTAAAGGCGAGATGTTGGTTTTTCTTTCTGAACATGGCCTGCCTGTGCTCTTCATCAACATGCTATCTGATCATGTTCTCCCTTGTTTAAAAGCCTCTCTGGCTCCCCAGGCCTTCAGAGTCAAATTCCTGGTTACAGCTTTCCAGGCCCATAGTGGTCAGTCCCTGCTTACTCTCCTGCCTCATTTCAGAGCACTTCTCTCCCCTCTGCCCTCTGATTTGCTTTGCTTCCATGGGACCTTATTCTCTCACCCCAGGCCTTGCTTGAGACAGAACGCTGCCACTGCTGCGACCACCACCAGCCCCCATACACACCCCGCCTCACTGTTCCTGAGCACTTCCTCATCTTTCATAACTCAGCTCAGGGTTAAGCTCCTCTGAAAACACTCCAGCACACGTTCTAATCCTCCTATTTGCTTAGATTCCAATGGGTGTATCCAACAGGAATATCAAGCAGAACTGTCATCGCCTGGCCCCTCCGCTAGACTTGGAGGCAGACCATCTCACTCCTCTTTTATCCTCTGGCACAAATACTCAAT